ATAAATTATATAATGTGATGACATCTTAAGATTATTTATCCATTCAATTTTGTCTTTTACTTCCGTAATGGCCGATTCTTCGATCCCGTTATAGAACGTATTAGATGATAGAGTACGATGCGGACAAAATTAAGAATTGTGTTAATTTACCACCAAGATATTTCCGATGTTGCGGCTTACATTTATTTTTGATTGGGTAATAATTTATACAGCAGAGAAAATTTTATACGAGAATTGAAAAATCGGCTCTGAGTAATCAACAAAGAGTCACTAGAATAACACAACACAGTAGAAAAATAAAAAATCTTAACATCTAAGATCACAGACGGCGAATGTTGAACAATTCCAATTCTAAATAAAATAATAATAACAATAAAAAGAGCTTGAACTCAAATGGTTATTGTCAGTAAGCTCAGTTACGGTTTACGAATAATTGTACTTGTAAAAATAATTTAAATAAAAATAGGACGAATTGAAAATCTCTTATAGTCCAGTCAATGAAGGCTTAACTTTGCCATTTTGAGTTGATCACCTGCAACCAACGCGAAAATTTCCGCAAGGGTTCGTAGATTAATATACTAAAATTGCAGGGTGCTGCATTGACGGCAAAGGGTGAAAAGAAAAAATGCGAAATGGTGCAAAAACGAGTTTTTCGTCAATATCTCGCGACTGGCTGCAAAAGCAGAAAAAGTTCCTAGTACAAAGTTGTAGATAATTTAATTTCCTACAAAAAAGGTATCAACATATTTTCGCGTATCTCCCATAGTTTTTCTTTTAAAAAAAGAAAATATGTTGTTAATGGTTTCTTTTCCATTTTTAAACGATCCTACGGGTCAAATTCAACAATCACCACTTACTGAAATATTTAAGGATGAGTTTTCGGCAGTCCACTGAAATGAAAATTGTCTACCGAAATGGTAAAAAAATTACCACCGAAATGATACAGCCAAGAACATCGCCTTTGTAGTAGAAGGGTTGCCTATTTGAATTTAAATAAATTTCTTTACATTATTTTTTAAATAAGAATTATTAATGAAGAATTGATTAATTGTTCCTCCTATTAGTTATTATTACTAATTATAATTATTAATACGTACATTTTCAAAATAACGAACAAAGCGCGTTTAGAAAGCGAGAAGTTTATTACTTAGTAAATCGTCTCCTTAGTGCCAAAACCGATTATCTGCACTTTTCCGCTACTGAACTTTTATAATACCAATCGACCCGTCTCATTAAGCTGCATCTACAGGTAAAACCCATTATGCTCTACGACGCATACTTCCTGAAATAGCTAATGAATAAACAGAATAACTGCAAATTATTTCCAAAATTCTTGATTTAAAACCTAATAAACCCATTCAAAACACTTAAGTTTGTAAATGTATTACCGCTGAAACCAAGTTTTGGATTTAAACTCATTTTTCATGTAGACACTTAGAATAAATATCCTGTGGATATCCTGTAATTATCCTGTATATATCCGGCTTTGACTGTTGTTGACTTGACTGTTTGAATTTTACCAGATATTTAAATTTTACTAGATAAAGTAAAAACTAACAAATCTGTCGCTTTTTGCAAAAACGTATATATAATATGTTTGCGTTATTTGAGGCAAGTAAAAGAGGATAGACCGAATCGATTGACAGGTGACCTTCTAGCGTACTTGACATATATCTGGGGTGAGGCTATCGATAAGCGAGGTGAGTCTTTGGCTATCAGCCTTAACATCACCAAGGCTTTGATAGGGTCTGGCACATAAGTCTTCTCTCCAAGCTTCCTGGATACGGTCTGCCTACTCAGTTCTGTGCCTGAGTGGCTGAATTCTTGCATGAGCGTCAACGGTCGGCGACGGCCGGTGTTTCTCAGGACTCCGTCCTATCCCCTACACTCTTTTTGCTGCATTCAATGATTTAATTCCTCTTGAGAATATTCATTGCTATGCAGACGATAATACAGTGCATACGGGATATTTGCGTATCCAACGTAGCCGCTGGACAGGTAGACCAAAGAGAAACGGGAGAATCTGGTCATTAAACTCAATCAAGATTTGGACAGCATTTCGGAATGCGGTACCAAGAACTTGGTTCAGTTCATTGCCAAGAAAGCCCAGGTCAGCGTGTTCACGATAAAACTAACGTTTTTTCACGCCTGAGCAACTGTGCGTGTTGTACATGACGTAAGTACGCTCTTGCGTGGAATATTGTTCGCACCCCAGAGGATGGCTCCGCCAAGTACTTTTTTGATGCTTTGGATAGGTTACAGCGGCGCGCAATCTGCATTATTGGCGATAAGGAGGTGACTAAACACCTCGAGCCTCTTCAATTACGCCGTGATGTGGCGTTATTAAGCGCGTTTTATCGTCTATACCATGACGCATGTTTTGAGGAGTTATTCTCCCTTATCCTACCTTGCCCTTTCCTACAGAAGTCTACACGTGCTGGCTTACGTTGTCACCGACTTACTGTGAATACTATTCCCACTATTCCAACGTGAACAAAGAAATTTAGTAACTCATTTCTTTGTCAGACTATCCGCAAATGGATTACTTTGCCCTCTTAGGTGTGTGAAGTAGCAATTCTGCAAGCCGGCAAAATGAGGATAGCTGGTTTGGCAATTAATACTGCTGTACCAGCTATCTTCGCGTCTAGACTCCTCCGTCACCTAACCTCTGGTGGAGTCATTTGTCGAACCTATTTATAAAAAAAAATCTATAGCAAAGAAAAAAGATCTTGAAGAGTACCATGGATTATACAGATCTTTAGCTACAGAAACAAGCCAATATGGTCGTTTTCCTTCAGAAACCATTTTGATGACTCATCATGTGTAAGCGAGTCAAGTGCAGATGAATAATACTGATTTTTTTACACTTATTTAATTAGGAATACTATCGGCCGCCAACGAATTCGTCCGCTTTAACTTTAATATACATTTTTAAACTAGATATTTTAGAAAGAAATACTACTGCACCCGTAATATCGAACCTACAGTATCTAAATAAATGTACATCATAAACCGAAACTATTTAATATACCTATATTGACTCAAGGATCTCTAAAAACATATGGATATATCATTTCGGCGATACTTTCATTCCCTGGACTCTTATCGGCATTAATCAGCGAATCAATTGTCCCCATATCACTGAAATGATATACTTACTATTTGGCGGGAATCCACAATGACGTTGTTGCGCGTGCGTGTGCTCCAGCGAAGGCGGACTGGCTCGAAGTGAGCACTGACAAGCGGGACACAACAACGCAATGTAGACGAACCTATTTCACAAAAACTTACTGTCCATGGAAATGATAACTTTTTCCAGGACAAAAGTTGAGTACTTGTTACATGTATAAGGAAGAAGGTAAACAAACAGTAGTAAGTTTTGTTGATAGGCTATATTATATATTAATGATATAAAAGTTAATTTCAATCGAAAAAATAAATGCAACTACAGGGGAAGTAATTTTACGAAAGAAATCGGGTTTAAGACAGGTTACCGTGATGATAAAATGCCACTTCGTATATTTTTTTACTTTATGGAATAGAGCCCATTACTCAATAATTCTTTTTGACAAGGTTGAGAAATACCTACTTAACTAAGAAAAAAAGTCAAAATCATAAATCAGCACATTGCAATGCCGCTCTGAGCAATGCCGTGTATATTTTTTTTGCTTAGGGAGTTCGCCTCTACATGATTCATTGGGATTAAATTAAAATGTTTCGGGCATTTTTTGATTTCCTTTTTCATATAATAATCTTGACAAAAAAAAATGATTTCAATTTTATTATATAATAATGTTTAAGAATATGTATTGCATATTGCAAATATATGTTTTAAATGCAAATTTTGAACTGCTGCGCTGAACACGATGAAATAGAAATAAATGTTAAAGTTAAATTGAAATCAATTTGATTATCAAGTTTATTTTTCGTTATCTTTCTTAGTAGTTATCATTTTAAACCAAATACGCAGAATAGTTCACCCAGTAATGTTTATTAGTGATTAATTAAACAAAAAAATAACATTGTTGCCCAGCGCCCGATTCAACAATGAATGAATAAAAGTGAGCAACTCACTCCCTAGCGCGCGGTCTGTGTACGGAAGAGACGGTTAAACATGGATAGCTGATTTTAGCTGAAGCATAAATTTTAAAGTAACGATGTCTAACGCTAATAAATTATAGTGGAAGAAAAGAGTAAGCACCGATAATCGATTTTAGCTGAAGTAATTTATAAAGCGTTGAATAAAAGTTATTAAGTAAAAACAAATTAAAAATCGGTATCTTATTCGATTGCCTCAAATATTACGCAAATATAATATATATTTGTTTTTGAAAAAAGCGACTTAGATCTGTTAATTTTTACTTCATCTAGTAAAATTAAAATATCTGGTAAAATTCTCGCTTTCTAAACGCGCTTTGTTCGTTATTTTGAAAATGTACATATTAATAATTATAATTAGTAATAATTACTAATAGGAGTAACAACTAATTAATTCTTCATTAATAAGTCTTATTAAAAAATAATGTAAGGAAATTTATTTAAATTCAATATAGGGAACCCTTCTACTACAAAGGCGATGTTCTTGGCTGTATCATTTCGCTGGTCATTTTTTTACCATTTCGGTAGACAATTTTCATTTCAGTGGACTGCCGAAAACTCATCCTTAAATATTTCGGTAAGTGGTGATTGTTGAATTTGACCCATAGGATCGTTTAAAAATGGAAAAAAACCATTAATATATTTTCTTTTTTTATTTTGCACCTTTAATTGCATTTTGTGCAAAAACTATGGGAGATACGCGAAAATATGTTGATACCTTTTTTGTAGGAAATTAAATTTTCTACAACTTTGGACTAGGAACTTTTTCTGTTTTTGCAGCCAGTCGCGAGATATTGACGAAAAACTCGTTTTTGCACCATTTCGCATTTTTTTTTTCACCCTTTGCCGTCAATGCAGCACCCTGCAATTTTAGTATATTAATCTACGAACCTTTGCGGAAATTTTCGCGTTGGTTGCAGGTGATCAACTCAAAATGGCAAAGTTAAGCTTTCATTGACTGGACTATTATGTGAACTGCGAATAAAATTAAAACTTTTGCAGTCTATTCCTTTTTTAAAAACCTACACGCGCTCAACATTCGTCGTGGGCGACTTTGGAAATATATTATAATCTCGCCTAATCTCTGTACCACGGTAACTCCTTGCGGTTACGACCTAATGAAGTCCCATTGGTTGGTCGATTGATTGTCGCATATGACCATGAGGAGCGGTTCGGCCCTGTACGCGCGTTCCACGCCTAAACACATCCCTGCTGCGGTATTGTATATCGGACTGCCGGCCTGAATGTTGAAATTAATAACGGTCATTCCAAAAAATCCATTTTCTATATCATGTATACTGAAGTTATCGTATAAAAATCTGAATTTAAAGAAAGGGGAGTACAGCAAAAAAAATGACAATTATAAATGGTTAAGAACGCATAGACTCTTTTAAGTTGTCAACCTAAAATGAATTTAGTACAATGCAGCCTAGAGTCGACCGGCGTATAGTAGAACGTATCGCAATTATACGGCAAATCGTCACCCCACCGTCGTATTACAAAACGCTCCTATTTCTCAAAACAACTTGCCAGTATTTAATCTGTATTATTTACAATCTAAAATAAACACCTAAAATCAATCCTGTAACTGTAACCCATAGGGGCAGACACTGGGTATCCAATTCAATTGCTAAAGTTGACACACGCCTCTTTCGCTTTTTATGCATTCATAGCCTAGGTTTATATTAATCCTTGTGTGCAGCTAGAAAACAAAATATAAAAAAACCACTTACGGAGCCTTTATGTTTCCACTCTTGAGAGCCGCCCAGTTCGTGGCATTTACCTAGCACCGGCGAAACGTTGTTAGCCGCGTCTAAACAGAGAGTGCGTCCTAATACTAACTCGTGCCTATCAGTCTCGAACCATACCTATAACCAAAACACAGCACTTACTACAACCAGACGAATTTTGACGGTTCCGTTATCATATCGTCATCGTCAAATTTTGTTAGTTTGTTCTAATGTCAAATAGTAGGCGCTGCTTAGTTTTCATAAATACTTTGACGATGCGATACTATTACGGAGTTGTCAAAATTCGTTCTTGGGCCTCTGTTTACGATCAAAATTCCTACATAAATCTTCCCTAATGACCAGTTTCTTAACAGACCTATCTATAAGAGCTTAGTTTCCTAGATATTGTGATTAGTTATGTCAAAATAACAACTGTTGCTAAGAAACCAAACCAATGTAAACTTACCTTTTACCTAGAGCTGATTTATTCAAACTGGCTGTTTAATGATCTTTTAGACTGTTCCCCTACATAAATTAGTTTATACCGTACTAGTATGCAAATTATTGAAATTGAATTTAGAACTTAAAATTCGGCATCGGGCAAGCATTCCACATAAAATGCCAAAACTTCAGCCTCATTCCTTTAACGATCTAGAAAACCGTGGCATACGGATAGACATACAGACGACAAAAAGTAATAGGGCTCCGTTTTTATCCTTTGAGTATGGAACCCTGAAACTGAATCATCGAAATCGGCCCATAAATGTGCGAATAACACTATATGTATATATATACAGGGTGGTCCAAGTAGTGACGTCAACATTTTTTTTTAGATTCCTGGCACCTGGGTATATCCGAAAATACACCATGTATGCTCCGCGATTTTTCTTAGTTTTGGAGTTATATTTTTTTTTGTGTATTTTTAATGTTTTTTGCCAGCGAGGTTTAAAACCAAACATTTGTACACAAACAATAACAAATATTGTTTTTTTATTTCATTTATTGAGTTTTGGCTATGACTGGTTGATAACCTAAATCGTCAAGCAAATGTCACTAAGTCGGATAAACTTGATTTAAAACTTACATTTACGTAAAGGATGCATCTTCGTATGTGACCTAGTAATAATGCATGATTATTCATAACTACTCCGGCGGTAATGCAGAGATGAGCAGAATTGAAGAGCTAGATTCTGACAGATGTTTTTCTCACACAGTCTTAATAAATAAGTATTATTTTTAATCATTTGTTGTTTTTTCCCAATCTAAGTAAATAAATTTTATTCAAAAAATCTGATGTTTTCTCACTTAATCTTAGTAAATAACTTTTATTAAATAAAAACTTTTTTGCTCACTCTACCTATTTGATTTGAATTGACAGCTTTGACGTCACAATATGGCGCCCAGTCGGTCCTATTCTTAGTTGAATCGCATTATAAATTATTGTTAAGCAAACTTTTGTTTTTTTTACCCTCACATCGTTGAGGGAGGCCCGTGCCCCAGCAGTGGGGACAGCAATTGAATGCCAGAGAAAAAGCTAATGTATGTATCTACCTACATTAATTTTCTTATTTTTGAAGACTATTTAGTACTTATATTACCATTTTATTATTATAAAACAATGTTAGGTATTTTTTAAAATAATAAAATTATATTTATATGTTTACATAGTTTCTTATCTGACATACCCAATTATGGGTAACTTTTATTAATTTGCAACATTAAAGCGACGGAGGCGCTACCACTCAGTTCACAGATAAGTTGGTGGGTCTGTACGTACTTTTACTCTGAAACATGGCAAACAAGGAGGTAATTTATCAAAGGTTTTATTTAAATTCCGAACTGACTTTCAAAAAGAAAACTGTTTATTGAAAAAAAACCAATGAAAGAGTATTGTTGTTCGTTGTTCGTCATTGATTTTAGGAAAAATGTAGGTAAATACTTCTATTTTAAAATAATTAGTATTCCTGAATTAGGTATTACTTAATTATAATTTCCCCGAATTATTTGAGAAAAGCGCTATACAAAACCCACCTGATTTAAAGTTCGAATGCAGCTAGCGAGCTGTAAGCCACTGCCTTTAGATTTGATATCCTTCACGCTTTGCACACAAAATGATGTGTTCTTCAAACGTAACTGGAATGAGTCAGTGTAGTTTCTTTTCCTGTAAAAATCCAAACAATATTTATCAGCGATAATTTACTTTACATGTGGGTTCTATAATCTCCTATAGTATAGAAGGTTGCATTTCTAACTTTTAAAAGCAAAGAACTTTCCTAATTACTTAGCCCATAGAGGCTAGAGCTCAAACTTATAGACAAAATAAAATGCTGCGTGCTTCAGAAAACACGTCAAAAAACCATGTTGGTCCCAGCTGCGTCTGCGGTCGTTAGCTCCCTTTACCAATCCGGTGGTGGTTTGTCTAGTTCTCCCTATTGTGTCCATAAGGAATCTCTGTGCTTCACCACTGTGAAAATTTTATGAATGGCTAGCCCATTAATTAATTATTAGCATAATAATGATATAAATTTGTCAAACCTCGAATGCCACGGCTGAAACTTATTCTTCTCCGGATCGTTGAGGGCAGCCAGTCTTTTCTTCGACGCCGTCTCGTCTCCAGTCTCCAGTTCAGGATAAACGTTCTCCAGAAACCATTTGAAGGATTTGCAATTCAAACTCTTGCGCACCGCCTGCCGTTCTGATATGTTGCCGACGTCAATGTGAGCGGCGGAAGGATTCTGTTCTATTACTTTTTTCTGTAACAAATTGTTTGAATTTCAACAATTCATATACAGATATTCAGATGAAAATGACGCGTTTCAATAACGCAGTCGTGGTCGCGTCGCTTCCAGTCTCAGACCCACGGAGCAAATAGACATAGAGGAATTTCTGTATTCAATGTAGCACAGCTTCTACCACTACCACCCTAATAACTAAGTCCAATATAAAACATGCATACATATCTTTATCAGTCAACGCGCAGCATAATATTATTTTATTTATAGAGTAATACAGTAATAAAGATTTAATAGGTGATATAAGTAGTTTGGGTTCTAATTAAATTATTTAAACCAGCTAACACCTTTTAATCTGCTTGAACATAAGCTCCCTTTAGTAAGCTTATACGGCCCCTAAATGAGGCGTTGACGCTCACCTTGATAAAGACTGCTAAATTTGGAAAACAGATCATTAAAAGTGAAACCTTTCGCTATGAGCGACGAAAACAAATGTAGTAACATTAGAAAATTACAAAAAATACAAATACCTTCGTTCTCTCACATTGAATAACACAATTGCGGAACGTATGGTGTACGGCAAATTCACAATATATGTATTTATAACTCTATGTAAGAGACTGGCTTCTGTGGTAAGATACCTGTATGCCTTTCTGACTCTGGATCAGGTAGATAATAAGACCTTTTACTAATCTAATTAATAAAAAAAAAATTTGAAAGCACTTCACTACAGAGCTAGCGTAAATTACAACCTACTAATTGCACGCAAATCATTTGTATACTCTGCACTCGCAAAGCCACGACTGAAAATATTCACAGGTGCTTGGAAACAAAAGGGTATTTGACAAGTTTTAGAAAACGATCTCACGTTTATGTCTAATGAAGTCATTAAAGGTCAAAAAGGATATTAAACATTCTGTTGTGTATTTCGGTAAAAAATTGTGTGCACGGACCACACATCTGAAGTGAAACTTCTTTTATTAAATAAAAGTTAGTTAAGTGAAGTCCGAAGAGAGGGCGAGGACACCAGAACCCTCGAATCGGGCCGCCTAATGTACTTCCGCGGGGGAGATCAACAATCCCAAGGTGGCGTTGGGTTTTTGGTAAATAAGTCCCTTGCCGATAACGTTGTAGAAATGTCCAGCGTGTCGAACAGGGAAGTGTACTTTATTTTAAAGCTCACCAAGAGGTATAGCCTCAAGGTGGTGCAAGTGTACGCACCGACCTCGACACGCTCGGACAACGAAGTGGAGGATATGCTCGATGCTATATCGAGGGCCCTCCACTACGCTACTAAGACCCACTACAACGTTGTTATGGGGGACTCCAACGCTAAAGTCGGAGTACAGAATTGCAGCTAATCGGTAGTAGGATCGGATTTGAAAGCAGAAATCATAGGGGGCAAATGCTCGTCAACTTCCTCGAACGGGAAGGGCTATTCTTGATGAACTCTCTATTCAAGAAACAGCCCCAAAGGAAGTGGACGTGGCAGAGCCCCGATACTATGACTAAAATGAGATCGATTTCATCATGACGGACAATAGGTACATATTCAGAGACGTCTCCGTGATCAACAGGTTCAATACCGGTAGTGCTCACCGACTCTTTCGAGGCTCTCTGAATATCAACTTTAAGGCCGAGTGCATCCGTTTGAAATCCAGGCTCCGACCTACTCTGCTCCAATCTATAACAGGATTTGAAACGTGCCAGTCAAATCTGGAGAACCGATTTTCTGCCGTGGAAACCACATCAGACGTAAACCAAAACCTCGAAAATGTGGTTCGGATCCTCAGGGGAGAGGGTACGAGATTATGTGCAACGCAGCGTAAGGGCAGGAAGTCAAAGCTTTCAAAAGTAACTTTAGGGCTAATGAAGGAACGACGTGAAAATCTACCCGTCACTTCGTCGGCAAAGCGGACTCTAAACCAAGAGATCAGCAAGCACGTACGACACGACCTCCGGTGCTCCAATACTCTCTAGAGAGCGATCGAGCAGAATCGCAGATCCAAAGTGTTCGTACAATCTCTTGGAAGAAGCCATCTGACGAAGTTGACCACAGCAAGTGGGGAAGTTGTTGCTTCAAAGCCGGCAGTCCTTTCGGAAGTGGAAGACTTCTACGGCCAGTTGTACGCATCACATGCATCTCGACCCCACACAGTACGGCAGATTATACAGAAGACTGAAGAGTACAATCAGCTCCTGTGCCTAGCATTTGTGGACTATGAGAAGGTCTTTGACTCGGTTGAAATCTGGTCTGTCCTGGAGTCTCTGCAGCGTTGCCAATTCGACTGGCGACACATCCAAGTGATTAGATGTCTCTACGAAGCCGCCACCATGTCTGTCCAAGTACACAATCAGCAAACTAGTCCCATACCGTTGCATCGTGGAGTGAGACAAGGGGACGTTATTTCCCCGAAATTGTTCACTAATGCAATGGAGGATAATAATATGTTCAAGACGCTGAACTGGAAAGGACGCTACATCAACATTAATGGCGAACGCATCTCTCACTTGCGATTTGCAGACGACATCGTCATCATGGCAGAAACCCTGCAGGACCTACAAAAAATGCTGAATATCTGGCTGACGCTTCTATACGCATTTGCTTACGGATGAACTTGGATAAAACCAAGGTCATGTTCAATGAACATGTTCTACCGAAACCGATTGTAATACACGGTGCCGTTCTCGAAGTTGTTCAAAAATATGTGTGCTGCCCGAGGCAGACATTGCAGTTAGGTAGAAACAACAATGAGGACGAGGTGAATAGAAGAATTCAGCTAGGTTGTGCAGCGTTTGGGAAGCTACGTCAAGTCCTGACAGCGTCGATCCCACAGTGCCTAAAGACGAAAGTCTGCAATCAGTGCGTCCTACCTGTGATGACATACGGAGCCGAGACGTGGACACTGACGGTAAGGCACCAGCCATACCGTCAGTGTCCAAGTGAGTGGACCACCACAAGTTCATTGTCGCTCAGTGCGCTATGGAAAGGACTATGCTCGGGTTTCTCTGAAGAATCGCATCAGAAATGAGGTAATCCGACAGAGAACCAGAGTTATCGACATAGCCCCCCGGATTAGCAAGTTGAAGTGGCAGTGGGCTGGCCATATTTGCCGAAGAACCGATAACCGTTGGGGTAGATGAGTTCTGGAGCGGAGACCACGTCTAGGCAAACTAGTGTAGGACTTCCTCATGCACAATGGAGTGACGATTTGCGCAAGATGGCTAGCAGGAGCTGGATGCGAGTAGCCCAAGATCGATCTGAGTGGCGTGCAATTGGAGAGGCCTATGTCCAGCAGTGGACTAGGATAGGCTGTTGATGAATATGGTACCTAACTAATGCCGCTTCCTATATACAAAATATAAAATTTATTGTAACTATATAGAGTTGACGTTCAAGCGTAAAATTTAGATACTTTATGATGAGGAGTATCCAAATCCCCCTATGTATGTTCTACGATTTTGCGTAGTTTTCGAGTTATAATTTTTTTAATGTTTTTTTTCGTAATTTTCACCTAACATCGGTTTCCGATTTTTTTCTCATTCTGTTGGACGTTTCTGGTTCAGTTTTTTGATAACTGACTAACATAGTCTAACCTAGCACCCTAAAACTTATGGTTTATCTAGGCATTGCAGAATTTACTTAGAATTTGTTCGAGAGTTCAAAATTACGATTTGAGTACACACAAATTTTCAAAAAATGTAAATTGGGGGATTTTTAGTTCAAAGTGCTTTTAGAAACTTCCTGAAACATTAAACTTTAAAACAAGGTCAAATAAAGATAGTGTTAATGCGGGTTTTTTTTCTGTAACTGACCTTCAAAGTAAATTAAGGCATTTTTCAAGGAAAAAAAATAATTATTATCTTTTATTTAAATTTTTGCCTATCTCTCAGTTATGATGGATTTGAGTAAAACACAGTTGTTAATGACCTAAATTCTACTTCTAATTACTTACTCGTCTTGTTATGCCGTTTTTTCTCGACCACTATTTGCCTACTGATACTGCCGCTGCTTACTTGTTTGACCCCTGCTTGTTACTGGATTCCGTAGTGCCTAACGATTTGGACTGTAGTTACTTGGAAGTGTTAGTGATGCCCTACACTCTAGAGTGAATATGCAGAAATGCATTATTTCTACGGGGATCAAGTTCAACGCCGAGGCGGAGCGCAACCTGATCATTACCCTGACTATGAGGGTGAGGGTTGATCAGGAACGCAGAAAAATCGTACTGGAAGAAGAGCAACGCAATAGTAGTACAAGTACTAGAGCATTAGCTCATAACCTTGACATACCAAGATCTTCAATACAGGATATTTTGCGTGAGGAATCATTTCACGCCTACCACATACAAAAAGTACAAGCGTTGCAGCCTTCAGATTATCAATTGAGAGTCGAGCTCTGTAGAACTTTGTTGCAGAAACAGGAAGAAGATCCCGGATACTTTAATAAAATCTTGTGGACCGACGAGTCAAGATTAGAGCGAACTGGGGTTTTCAATATCCACAATTTTCACATTTGGGCTGTTGAAAATCCACATGCCGCCAGACCATCATCATTATAACATCGTTTTAGCGTTGACATGTGGTCTGGTGTTTTGAATGGCGAATTAATAGGCGTATTTGAACTGCCATCGAGATTAGACGGCGACACATACAAAAGTTTTTAGAAGACATGGGTAGATTACTGGAAGATGTAAATCTTGAATTAAGAAGAACGATGGTATTCCAGAACGACGGGGCGCCATTTAGACCAGACCTACCCCAACAGGTGGATCGGACGACAAGGGCCCATTGCCTGGCCACCATGCTCGCCTGACCTCAACCCTATTGATTTTTTTATCTGGGGCCACTTTAAAAAAATTGCGTACGCTAGAGAAGCTTCGAGTGAAGAAGAACTGAGAGCAAAAATTCGCGAAGCTGAAACCACTGTGAAAAATAACCGTGAAGCTTTTAGGCACCTAAAACATATTTTTTTGCGCAGATGTAGATTGTGTATTTCTGTGGGATGGCAAAATTTTGAA